AATAAAAAAGTTAAAGGGGGGCGACATTATAGGGGATCACCCTGTACAAAGCAACCAGGTAATAGGGACCAGAAAAAGGTAGGCAACCTAGCTGTTACATATTCTGTATGTTTTATGCTTTCCATTGGAATTTCGTTCATTTGGCAAGCAAGTCAGTGAAATTTAAAAAATTAATTATTTTTTTTAAATTTTTTATTTATTATAGCTAGCCTTGATCATATTTTTTATGGCAACCCTATTGGTTTATGTTCAGAAACATATTTTATTTGATAAAATATAATTTTCATCTGGTAAGCAGATGGGTGAAGGTCGACCTTACTTGGGATCTTAGACTATTACCCTTTTTAGAGCAGAAAAAGATCGTTCACCACTTGCATTTGAAACCATTATAAAAAAAAAATTCGCAGACTATTATAAATATTCAGAAATGAAGATATTAATTTATTTTCGTATAAAACTCAAAGTTCTCAACTAAAAATGACAAAAGATGAGCATTTGTGCTTAAATCCATATTTTGTTTTTGGACTGCTTTATTGGTTTCATTAACCCTTTGCAAAACGTCTATCCAAAAAGTTCAAATTATTCCGTTTCCAAAAAATCAAGTTTTTCTGATGGAGAAGCTGCTTTAACTCTAACAACATTTTTCTCATTTGTATCCGATGTATCCGCCGACGCAGTGTCGCAATATTTTTTTTTCTAAATTCTAACGATTAAGTATTTTTTTTTAAATTATGGGCGGTATGCGGTACCGCCCCAAAAATATTTACCGCCCGGTGCTATAGTCCCCAAAAAACCCCTGTTAAACCGGCACTGTATACAAGGATAGGTTGTTAAAAAAAAATTTTAAAAATGAATTCTACAACAAAAACTAAGATTGTTAAAAAAAATTTTAAAAATGAATTCTACAACAAAAACTAAGATGATTGAGGCTGTCATTCATGTATGGTTTTAAGATGACAAAATAAAGGAAAATTGCAAAACATTGATTAATACTATGCCAAAACGAATTGAAGCTTTAATAAAGGCCAAAAGGGGGACATATTCCCTAATAAATAATACTAAAATATTTATAAACTAGTAGTTTGTTTTTTTTCATTAAATAATATTTAACGTAAATCTATTTGTGTTCACATTAATTCGCACAATACTGTACATAACCACACTTTTAAATTTTTTGGGACACTTAAAATAAAACAATTATAGGGGGGCGACATTATAGGGGATCACCCTGTGCATAAAATAATAAATAAAAATAACAATTCTTAAATAGTTTATAATTTTACCTATATACCTGTTATAAAACCTATAGGCTATAATATATTATATTATACTATATATTATACGATGTGGCTCCCGTCCCGAGGCGGGACTTAACTTCGATCCCGTCTGACGTCACACACTGTTAATCCGTTTTTATTCCCGGAGCTTTTAAAATTGGTGTCAAGCTGGATGGCTCAGATGGTAGGGCGGTCGCTTGGCATGCGAAAGGTAGATACCGGGTTCGATTCTACTAGAAGTTTTCAAACTTTTTTATTTTTTTTATAAACTTGTTGTTTCTTTGTTAAAAAGTGTTGGGTTGTGTTGGGTAGGGTTGGGTTAGTTGGTTTGGTTGGTTTGTTTTAGTTTTATTGTAACATAACAAATCTTAAAATTATGACAATCGGGACTGAACTTAAGTCCCGCCTCGGGACGGGAGCCACAGCGTATATTATATTATATAATTTAAACGCTATGGCTCCCGATTTACGTCATAATTTTAAGATTTGTTATGTTATAATAAAATAATAATAATAATAAATTGTACCTGTATACATGTTAAGGGCACGTTAGTTACGTCATAAAACCAAACCAACCCAAACTCAACAACACAACCCAACCGACCCCGCCCCATTGGGCCCCCCCCCCGCCCCATTGAGCAAAAAACCCAACTAAAATGGGCAAATTTATGTTACGATAAAAATAAAACACTTTTTAACAAAGAAACAACAAATTTATAAAATAAAAAAAGTTTGACAACTTCTAGTAGAATCGAACCCGGTAGCGTCTTTACTATACGTACTGCATGCCAGCACAAGCTCCGCCTATGTTACTACGTCATCGCAGTGTTGCGAAATGGAACGCAGCGTCAGCACGTTCTCCTAAATGTACTGCATGCCAGCACAGGCTGCTACGTCATCGCGGAGGTGCATAATCGTACGCAGCGTCAGCACGTTCTCCTAAATGTACTGCATACTGGCCCGTAATATTTTGGCGTCGCCCTTATTTCATTTACAGCATTGATTTTCGAAAATACGTATGTATAGGGAAATACAAAACTATTTATTGTAATATTTTGGCGTCGCCTTTATTTCATTTACAGCATTAATTTTCAAAAATACGTATGTATAGGGAAATACAAAACTATTTATTGTAATATTTTGGCGTCACCCTTATTTCATTTACAGCATTGATTTTCGAAAATACGTATGTATAGGGAAATACATAACTATTTATGTAATTATTAAACTATATTATTTTAATTATTAAGACTAGAACAAAAAAGAATTTCTAAAAACTATAGTTTACCATTCGATTTAAATTAGTAACGGCAATCGAGCAATTAGATTTTCTCGATAATAAGTAGCTCTAAGCAAGTTATGAAAATGTGTGAAGAAGAACAAAAATGAAAGTATATGAATTTAAATAATGAAGATGTATTATCGGTAACGTCATTTAATAGTTTATCGGAATTTAAAGCGTGTGTGAGAACGAACTTGAATAAAAATACAGCAAATGAGTAAAATATGAGTATACTCAATCCATCTATTACATTGCGCACTGTTATCTTCATTTGCTGTATTTTTATTTAAGTTCGTTCTCACACACGCTTTAAATTCGGATAAACTATTAAATGACGTTACCGATAATACATCTTCATTATTTAAATTCATATACTTTCTTATTTGTTCTTCTTCACACATTTTCATAACTTGCTTAGAGCTACTTATTATCGAGAAAATCTAATTGCTCGATTACCGTTACTAATTTAAATCGAATGGTATATAATTCAGGAATCTTCAACATTTTGCACCTCCGCGATGCAGCAGCCTGTGCTGGCATGCAGTACATTTAGGAGAACGTGCTGACGCTGCGTTCCATTTCGCAACACTGCGATGACGTAGTAACATAGGCGGAGCTTGTGCTGGCATGCAGTACGTATAGTAAAGACGCAACCCGGTACCTCTCGCATGCCAAGCGACCGCCCTACCATCTAAGCCGGATTTACAGTGTGTGACGTCTGTCGGGATCGAAGTTAAGTCCCGCCTCGGGACGGGAGCCACATCGTAATTTAAAACAGACTTTCAAACAAAATGTTTTGATGCTTATGATATTTTGGCAAAAAGTCATCGATATAATAAACGGAAATACTTGTATATATTACTCGTGAATTCCACGAGTATTTTTACGAGTACATTGAATTTGGTTAGTAAGTACGAGTAATAAGAATTTCAAATAAAAAATACTTATGAGTAAAAAAGTACTCGTACTTTTTTACTCGTAATTGAGTAGAAGTACTGAGTACTTGGCCAGCTCTAGTATGTAGGACCTACATTGTAGATACCCTAGTAAAAATGCCCTATAGAACCCATATTGATCCAGATGAAAAAACTAATATGGATTTATGATTCTATATGTCCTATATGGAACGACTTTAATATGGAATTTCATTTTAAAATCTAGAACTTAGGGATTTTTATATGGATTTATCTGGTTTCTGTTTTATGTGTCTTTCTATATAGGTTTCCCTATATGGTGGAATATGGAATTCCACTTTAAAATGTATATATATTTAAACAAAAATTGCATATTAAACCATATAAATTCCCCTATATGGTTAAATATGGATCTATATGGTAATAATTATTGGATCTATATGGTAATAATTATTATAAAAAAATTAATTTTTTCATACCCAACCCATATTGGGCCAGATAGAGCTTCAATATGGTTCATTTTAAACCTATATGGCAATCCATATAGAAATCACTTTTCTATATGGTTTTCCATGTATGGAATTCTATCTGGTTCAATAGTGATTACACAGTAAAACTTACTTTTTCAAAATTTACGGGAATAACGAAGTTATAACAATTTTTGGCTTTGACAGGTTTTCAGTTTTTTTCATTTTCAAATGTTTAAATTCCATTTTAATAGACTTTTAATTACGCAACTTTTGTCTAATATAACCGACCTTGTAGCCTTATATAATACAATAATGTGAATGAAATCTATACATTATGTGTTAATATAGTGGCAGAATTTGTACAAAAATTGTGCAAATTTTCAATGCAAACTTTGTGCGAAAATGCAGACACTGCCTTAAACAAATTTTATGCAAAAACGTTTGCAAGCAAGGGCTGTATAATTAAGAAATTTTAACTTTTGTTTTAAATCCATGCAAATTGTCCTAAAAAATTAAAACAATGTATCCGAAATTAGTTACAATTACAGTTAAACTTCTCCAACTTAAATCTGAAGGGACCAATAAAAAAATTTGAGTTAGTCAAAATTTGGGTTGGAGAAATACCAGTTTGGGTTTTAGAAATATTTGAGTCTAGAAATTCGACTTAGAGAGATGAAAATACATAAAATTATAGGACATTTAAGATAGCTATGGAAATTGAAGTTAGGGTAGTTTCACTGTAAGTAGAAATTTATTAAAATTTATATTTTAAATAACTTAAAAATATATATATATATTAAAAAAAGTATATTAACATATACTCTCAATAACAATGTGAATTAAAATTGGGAAAGTCAAGTAAATGAACATTCCAGTGGTACCTACTGACCTATAGGTATACCCAATTTATTTTTGTATGATAAATCTGGATTAAAGCCAATGGCTTTATGAATATTTTTGATTAAAGAACATTTATTATTATTCAATGCTATTTTGTTCTCAGAAGAAAATCTAATGAGAATGGATAGTTTACTAAATTTAATTTATTCTTAATTACCTAAAAGATGTGCACAATCCAAATTGGCATGTGATAGATCAGCTCTCTCCAAGCAACACCAGCTCAAATTAGATCCAGTCAAATTACATCCCTGCATATTGGCATACTTAAAATTAATGTATCTCAAATCTAACCTACTCAAGTCAGCACCAGCCAAATTAACCCCCTGGAACCTCAGCTCAGCAGTATAAGGACTCTTTATTAAGGCATTTATCACATCTCTTCTGGACAATGGTAAGGCATCCCTTTGTACACATTCTCTTTTAATTGTTTGTTCCAGTTCAGGTATTATGGATTCAATACCAAAAAACCTAGCCTCCTCCAAAATACCTTGAGGGTTTATATGTTTGTCATACACCAATTGTCCACATCTTAGGTAATTTAAGATTGGTTCAAAGTATGTGGGACTTCTATCAATCAAAAAAGCTCCATTTTTATCCATGGAACTAGGTGTAAAAAGAAAACCATCCTCATCTTCAGAAAACATTCTAGCCAACATGCTTGTTGGCTCGCTGTTTGTCAGGGTTCTCTTTGAAGTGGTAAAACATTTACCACCTACATTAAGTGTAATCCAATCACCAAATTTAACTTTTACTTTGGGTTCTATAAAATCCTCCCCCACTGATTTAAGAAGCTTATCTTTATTTCTAGTAAAGTTAACATCTTTAACTTCAGCACCATCTTCTATGAATATTGTTTTTGCTGATATATTTAACTTTGATGATAATTGATTTAATAAATCGTCAATTGAATCATCCACCTTAATTTCCTTAAAAATGCTGTTATTATTTTTATAAACAAAATTATGATTTTATTACCTTCTTGTCTTCAAAAGTTCCATTTTTACATAGAAATACAGTCTTCTTACTCATTATTATCAGTAATAGCAATTTATTATTTTAAATCCATTTTAAGGCATCAGCAGAAACAAAGAAGTCTTTGTTTAATAGCAAAAACATCATAAACTTATAATTATATCTTCTTTAACAAATAAATCATTGTTATCAACATATTTCTGTTAACTTTACTTGTTGTTGCAGGTTTTTAAACAAATATTTTGCCAAAATAAGGAAAATATTGACGTTTCACAATATTTTTTAAATAAAACATTTGAACTACTTTGACAGTGCCAGGTTGACACATTTGAACTACTGCATGTAAATCATTACTTTATTTATAATTTAAACAATTATTATCCTCGTCATAAATTATTTATACAATTTTATCAATAAATAAGTGCTGATTAACAGCAATAAATTGGATGAAGAGGCATTTATAATAGTTTTTCCTTGTTCCAAGAATTCTAAAATGACAGTTCATTTTAATACGTCACTCATTCGGTAAAATTAATTTTAAATTTAAAAAATGCATCTAAGAAGTTTTACCGCGTCTCTGTTTTCATTTATATTAATTAATTTAAGCAATGCCCAATGGAATACAAAGGATTTCATGAAAAGGGAGCATTCTTTAATAAAACCGTATTATGGTGAGCATTTTTAGGTTAGAAATGGGTATTCTCGAATAATCGGTGTATATTGTAGGATCTGGGATAGATATTCCATTCTGGCAATTCACTGGAAATACTATTGTTACTCCTAACCATATAAGACTTACAGATGACTCCCAAAGTAAAAGAGGGGCTTTATGGAACTCAGTTGTAAGTTTAAACTACAATCTCGTATATCCTGAACTTGATAAACAATATTTTCTTTTTAGCCTGTAAGTGTTCGTCACTGGGACTTGCAAGTTCAATTTAAGGTGCATGGCAAAGGTAAAGATTTGTTTGGGGATGGGTTTGCTATCTGGTATGCCAAAGAACCCATGGTAGATGGTACCATTTTTGGCAGCAAAGACTACTTCCAAGGTTTAGCCATTATTTTGGATACATACAGTAACCACAATGGCCCACACAATGTGAGTTTTATTTTTTTTTATGTTTTGGTGGTTTATATTTTTTTATTTAGCATCAGCATCCCTACATTTCTGCCATGATCAATAATGGATCATTGCACTATGACCATGACAGAGATGGCACACACACTCAGTTGGCTGGGTGTGAGGCTAAGTTCCGTAATATGGATTATGATACACATCTTTCAGTTAAATATGAAGGGGATGTTTTAACTGGTAATTTGTTTGACAAAAGCCTGTTTTTAAGAATACTAATTAATATTTTTTATTAGTATCAACTGATATAGAAAACAAAGCAGCATGGAAAGAATGTTTTCAAGTTAAAGGAGTAAAATTACCAACTGGTTATTTTGTTGGTCTAACAGCTACAACTGGTGATTTATCTGATAACCATGATATTATGTCTGTGAGATTATTTGAACTTGATTCTCCCAATAATGTAAGTATTATTAGAAAGTATACTTTATACTATATATATATACTTTATACGGGTGACGTTCACAATATCGAAATTCATTATATCGAATTCAAAATATCGAACACTTTTTATCGAAAATCAAAATATCGAAAATACAAAATGTCGAAAATCAAAATATCGAAAATTAAAATGTCGAAAATGATAATATCGAAAATTAAAATGTCGATTTGAAAATGTCGAATAATTAAAATTTCGAAAATTAAAATGTCGAAAATGATAATATCGAAAATTAAAATGTCGATTTGAAAATGTCGAATAATTAAAATTTCGAAAATTAAAATATCGATTTAAAAATATCGAAAATTAAAATGTATGATTAAAATCGAAGTGTATATGTACAGAGGCGCCTCTGTAGATAAAGTTACGGTTATGCACCGAATTATCTTGGCTCCCTGGCTCCTAGAGATGCGCGTTTTATAGAAATGTACTCAAACTCAACAACACAACCCAACCGACCCCGCCCCATTGGCCCCCCCCCCGCCCCATTGAGCAAAAAACCCAACTAAAATGGGCAAATTCATGTTACGATAAAAATAAAACACTTTTTAATTACATAAATTAGCCCATTTTAGTTGGGTTTTTTGCTCAATGGGGCGGGGGGGGGGCAATGGGGCGGGGTCGGTTGGGTTGTGTTGTTGAGTTTGAGTACATTTCTATATCAGAGGCGCCTCTGTACATATACACTTCGGATTAAAATAATATGTCGATTAATTGAAATATTTAAACAAAATATCAAATTCAAAATAAGAAAATATGGTTTAGTTTCACATTAATTGTAAAAATAAAAGTAAGAATAATAACCCCAGGTACTAAATAAAAAATTAACTTTATTAAAAATTTAAACAAAAAATAAATACTTATAGAATAAAAGCTATGGATTTTAAATAATTTAATAGAATATGTGGTTCATTTTGATAATTGTCTTGAAAGTTGCTTACAAGCGTCTTTAACCTTTCTGAATGACTTTCGGCCTTTTTTGGCTTTAAAATTGTTACGCCACACATCCTTTGAGATATTTTCATTTCAGTCAGCCCCTGCTCATTTTGAATACCTTCGAGAAACTTCCATATAGATGGTTTTTTAGCTGAAAATTGATGGTTTATACTTCTGTGCCACGATTCAACTATATTATTGGTTTTTTGTTGACCGGTCAATGTCATATCGTAAAAATTCCATAGGCGATGCTCAAATTTTGGTTCCTTTCTTTCATTAAGCCTTTCGCGGCGGCCCACCCATGTATCTTCAAAGTAATTCAGAATAACTTTTCCTTCATGTCGGATGATACCGTTTTTTGCAATAAAATCAAATGCATAATACACATGATTTACGGGTACGAAAGCAATAGCGATCAGTATTTTAATTTCCGACTGAAATGTTACGTCGCTGTCATACAGTTTCTTTAGTCCTGAGGAGCAAACTTTTCTGTAAATACTTTGCTTGAAATGGAAGTAACATCCTTTATTAGTTGCCAGTGGAAACAAAAGCTTTGAGGCTGCTATGGCAGCTATTTCAAAATCGGACATTATAGTTTTTACTTTTGGTGAAGTTAATGATTTTCTTAATACCTCAAATGTGGTAATGTAGCTTTTTTCAGTTTTATTTGGCAAAAGTGCATATACCAAGGGATAATACTCTTCGTTAAATTTTGCGTGAATGGTGTACATTTGGTAAAAAAACAAAGGAACACATTGGAAAGTACCATCAATGTACCATTCACTACTTTGATTTAAAATTGATAAATTACTATTGGTACTGAATATAAGTATCCTATTTTTATCTTTTGAATCGAATAAAAGAAAATTTTCACCTTTTTTTGTTCTCGTTAATTCTTCAGGAACTTTTAATTCCTCTATCGTACTTGGAACACTAATTCCTTTATTTTTTTGTTGTCTTGTACGGCGCACACATTGGCCTAAGCCACTGACGGTTGGTAGAGATGCACAAACAACCTCACCAGCTTCAGAACACTGCCTTGAGATGATGGCTCTGGGGGCATCACGGGATGTAGTAGCATCAGATTTAATTTCGTTGATTATTTTGAAAAATTCAAATTTTTTAGGATTACCTTCATGATTGTGATCATTCTTAAAATTGTAATCTGTATTTTTATTTATTATTCTAGCCTTGCACCCATTTGTGTAGTTGGTGCACCTCCAGTAGTTTGTCTCGCCTTTAGTTTTTTCTTGGGTGAAAAAAAAACCATTTAAGTAGATTTGCTTTTTGCCTTTTTGATTTAAAACGAATTGAATACCGTAAACACGGGTGGCTTTGGCTCACTTTCAAACTTCAGCTTAAAATTTTTGTGGTTTTAACAATCATAAACATTAAATTTTGTATACCAAAATTTGAGTCTTGAGTTGCTCTTTCATAATAACTATGTTATAATATTACATAGAGCTGAGTTTCAAAAATAAACATTAAAAACTGGGTGTGCAAAGTTACCCCCTGGTTGCGGGTTACTTTGTCTCACAGTGTTTTTTCAGTATAAAATGAATGTAATATTATATTTTATTTTTATTAGACACGTGTTAGCAGCGACATATATCTATTGCAAGGGATTACCAATAAAAAAAATAAAAAATCGACCTGTAGTTAACCAAGGATCATCATTCCAATGGATTGCGCATAATATAGAAATTGTAACGCGTGTATTTCTAAGAGTTTTGCACTGATACGATATATACAATTTTAAAGTGTAATAAATCCCATTCCTTTATTAAAACACTGATTTTCCTGTAATATAAACTCAATAGAATCGCTCAATTGACAGGTTTAGACCAACAAATTATAAATATTAATTTTATCGAGCGCGAAAAGATTTTTCATAAATGGGTTAAAGTCACCCGCGGGGTGCAAAGTCACCCGTATTTACGGTATCGTTTTTGTCCATAACGTTGATTAAACTTTGACTTAAAATATTTAAATAACAACAGTTATTTTTATTGTCATGGCGTTCCGTTAAAAAGCCTACTTCTACAGCTATATATTTTGTGTTAGCAAAAATAAAATTTGTTGATTACTATATATATACAAACCCAAACTCCATATTATGGAGTTTGGGTTTGTGTTGTTTTTTTCTGTGAAAAATAGGGAAGTAGATCATTGAACGCGAAATTGAACGACCATTTAATATTATACAATTGACAAATATGCTAAATAAGAATTTTTTTCCACCCGGTGTACGTTTAATGGCGATACTCCCGGTGTACTTCTAGTCACTTTGTAATTTTTAATATTCAGTAATTTAGATATTTTATATGTCCATATTATTATAATCGATATTTTAAGCAGTCGATATTTTATTTTCGATAAATTGAAAATTCGATTAAATAAAATTTCGACGTTTTGTATTTTCGACATTTTAATTTTCGACATTTTGTATTTTCGATATTTTGATTTTCGATAAAAAGTGTTCGATATTTTGAATTCGATAAAGTGAATTTCGATATTATGAACGTCGATATTTTATTTTCGATAAATTGAAAATTCGATTAAATAAAATTTCGATATTATCATTTTCGACATTTTAATTTTCGATATTTTGATTTTCGACATTTTGTATTTTCGATATTTTGATTTTCGATAAAAAGTGTTCGATATTTTGAATTCGATAAAGTGAATTTCGATATTATGAACGTCACCCACTTTATACTATAGGAACATTATTTTCTAAAGTCTGGTTTTCTCTTTTTTATTAATCCACATGTTTTGACTATATTGAATTTATTAAATTTTGATAAATTACACTGAGCAACAGCTATTTTGTTGCAGAATAGGCACTACTTTACTGGAGTTTTTAAGCATGAAAAAATGTTTTCGCGATATTACAAAAAAGTCATTTAAATGTTTGAATAATATTTCACATAAAATTTTCAATCAAATATAACTAATTAAGTTCAATAAATGAATAAATAATGTTTTATTGCATATTAAGTATCAGTGGGTACAAAATATACAAAAGGCCATCAAGCAGGATCCTTATCTTGAACATCTAAAACTTTCTTTTAGCAAATTGATGAAGACAGATCAAACATTGTACCTTCAGCCACATTTTTTGAACCACCAAGGGACCACATAGAAGACCCCAAACCTTCATCTCTCTCTGGAATCAAAATATTCCTGTTGATGCTCCTGGGTAGTATTGCTGTTGTGGCCTGTGTTGTAATAGGTATTATGTTCTATCAGAAGCACCAAGAAAAAAGCCGAAAACGTTTTTACTAAGCCCAAAAGTCTATTTTTTTGCTATAAGAATGTTATTTTGGATTGTTTATTGATTTTTCTACCATTATTTGTAAATATGGTTTTTGACTGAGATTGGTATAATTTATTATGGAATATTTTTTATTGTTTAGTCAGTAGTAAGGAAGTTTCATCAATTCAAAATTATTGAAATAATCAGTTTGTTTTATTTATAGCCTTGATAACTTATTTATGGTAATGTATGTAATCTATTTTACATATTTTGCTTTGAAAATATTTACAATAAAAATTGTATGTTCAATTTAGGTGCAAATTTTAATTGTTTTTATTTTAATGTTTGCATTTAAATTTTAGTTAGCATAAAGCTGTTGTCATATTTTATATTTAAGTCCATTGAAATACTGAAATATTTGTAAGCCAAGTTATTAATTTTTGAATAAATCATGTTTATATGAATTTTATATTAAATTCATTATATAAAAAACTATTACTTGGGTATAGCTCACAATTTTATGATATTTTATTGTTACTAAAGTAGTAGCATCTAAAATGTTTTTTTACAATTGAAAGTAAACAAATAAATAAAATATAAATTTATATATTTATGATGCATAGAAAACTTTTAATATAAATAATTTAATGATTATTGAACATTAGCAACAGCAGGTATAATTTTACAGTAAACTTCAATTCCTTTGAAGAACGTGTCTATCCCAATAAATTCATCGTTATCGTGTAAAAGAACTGGTGTGTTATTTATAGGAGAAAACCCTAACGCGGGAATTCCTAATCCTCTCAAGTATCTACTGTCAGTTCCGCCTGGAAAAGATTGTGGTTTCAACTTCAGACCCCTGAAAAAACAATCACTTGGTAAAAAACAACTTAAAATGTCTTATATCTTACAAGCTGTCAGTGGCGCCCTTGAAAGCCACCCAGAACGGGTTGGAGTTGTCAAGTTTAGTAGGCGCAACTTGCGGTTGTTTTTGCTCGTATTCAATTTTTATTCCTGGACCCGCCTCTTTGCACCATTTGTTTATTGTTTCCTCCCATGCTTTGATGTCGACGGTTGTAGGAATTCGGCAGTCGATCACGATCGTCATTTCGGGAGGAATTACGTTCGACTGGACACCACCCTAAGAAAAATATATTGTTTAATTTTTTTCAATTATACTTTTTTTGATTTTCGATTGTGAGTTGAGTAAAATATATATTTGTTACCTTTAACTGAGTTAGGTTGACTGTAGTTACATCCCCAAGAGTCCAAGTTGGATTGTCAATTAATTTCTGCTCCTGCTCCTTTCTAAACTCATAGAACTTATTCAATATATAGTTAACTTTTTCACCGGCAGTGTTTTTTAATAAAAGAGAACCATGTCCGGCATGTCCTGAACAGTGAATATGGATATCTGGTCAAATTAAAAGAAAATATTTAGAATTGGCTGCTACTCCACAAATTTTAGGTACAGTTTGAAGAATATTTCCAACGTTATGCGAGCATCTGTATAATGTTATTTAAAATAAAAGATTGTTCCAAATCTTAAAGATAAGGTATTTATTTTTTGAAAATATTTGATAGGGGCTGCCTGATATAATTTACTTACGCCAAATGCTTCTTTCTGCATAAGCTAACATGTATTCTTCATTGGGGCTTGTCATACCTTCATCAAGAGAAAAACCAACATTCAAATCCCTGTAATCCTGCGTTTTTATAAATTCCTTCATACCCAAAATTCCCCCAATTTCTTCATCTATAATATACTATAATTAATTAAAAGTTCCTGCCATAGGCTTTTGATGTGCAAGTATCAAAATATTCTTTCATGAAAAATATTTTTCTTCAAAAACAAAAAAAATACTTTTTGATTATTTTATATATCTCTGCATCAAAATATAATAATTTTTTTTTTTTACTCACCTGGCACAAATGTTAAATGCACAGTCCTTTTGAATCTGATACCCTGAGCTTTAAGTCGTCTTATAGCCTCAATATACTGAATTCCAACACTTTTCATGTCCTGGGTGCCTCTAGCATAAATTTTTCCATCAATTATATCAGCAGCAAAAGGCTTTTTGGTCCAGTCTTCCTGAAAAAAAACATTTACTTTTTTATTGTAAATGATCCACTAACTCCACTACCCTGCCTAAAATATCCAATTGACACCAATACAAAAAATCAATTGTTTTTTATTATTTTGAATTGTGTTTTGATATTGGTTTGAATCGAAAATTGTAATAGAAAATAATATTTCAATTATTTTGAATCGGTCTGAATTTAGACCGGGGTCGATAATTTTTGAAACCAAAAAAAATAACAGTAGGATGAAACCCATTGGAAAAGGAGAAGAATATAATAAAAATGAAAGGAAAAATAAATTACGGGCGATCTGACTTCGGGAAGTGGGAGGGGGGGTTTTAAGGGTAAAAAATGGTTTATCTCGATTTCCGGCAAAACTACAAGTCCTATGGAAAAAAGTTAAATGGCAAAGTTGTAGGTAATAAAAGGATCTACAACTTTTGTAATTACAATTTTTTTACATAACCTCAAAATTTATGTGAAAAATTCAAAAAAACAAGTTTTTGGTTTTTTATTTTTATCTTTTTCAAAAAAAAAAAAATTTTTCACACGAAATTTGGTGAAAACTTACCTTTTTATGTCCCAAATACACTGTAATTTATTTGATTTAAAATATTTATTATTTCGCCTTATTTTGACTTAATATCAAAAAAGCATCCTAATTTTCAATCGAAAATTCTCGCGTCAAAATATCAGCTTTTTTCAAAAAGTCGGCGTGCTTTTTGTTTGTTGAAATCTCTACTTTCTGATGGTGTAAAAAATATACATTACTAAGGTAAATGTTTTCAGAAAATGCAAAAATATTATAATGAATAACGAAAAAAACTCGAATTCGAAAATTTATTTTAATCATTATGTACAATTTCATCAAAAAAATGTGATTGTTGCAATTTTTTTAGTTAAAAAGTTTATTTATTAAATTCTAATAACATTTATGTCAGACAATCTCATAAAATATAAAAATACATGTAAATCATACTATTGAATTTAGATACTTCATTCTGATTACGTTATTCATTATAATATTTTTTGTATTTTCTGGGAACATTTACCATAGTAATGTATATTTTTTTTACACCATCAGAAAGTAGAGAGTTCATCGAACAAAAAGCACACCGACTTTTTGAAAAAAGCTGATATTTTGACTCGAGAATTTTCGATTAAAAATTAGGGTGCTTTTTTGATATTAAGTCAAAATAAGGCGAAATAATAAATATTTCAAATCAAATAAATTACAATGTATTTGGGACATAAAAAGGTAAGTTTTCACCAAATTTCGTGGAAAAAATTTTTTTTTTGAAAAAGATAAAAATAAAAAACCAAAAACTTGGTTTTTTGAATTTTTCACATAAATTTTGAGGTTATGTGAAAAAATTGTAAATACAAAAGTTGTAGATCTTTTTATTACCTACAACTTTGACATTTAACTTTTTTCCATAGGACTTTCAGTTTTGCCGGAAATCGAGATAAACCATTTTTTACCCTTAAAACCCCCCCCTCCCACTTCCCGAACTCAGATCGCCCGTAATTTATTTTTCCTTTAATTTTTATTATATTCCCCTCCTTTTCCAATGGGTTTCATCCTACTGTTATTTTTTTTCTCTTTTTACCATGTTTAAAGGCTTCTGCACTGGTCTAATTAGTCACTATTGATTTGAAATTTTAATCGGCGTGCCATTTAGTCAATTTCAATTATTCTGAATTAATTGTAAAATAATTTTGAAACTATTGGTAAATAATTTTAAAACTATCAACATACCAAAACTATCACGTGATAATATGATATTGAAAAAAAACGAGCGTTTGCTATTGCACGAAAATTTAAGGTTATTTTTTTTTGTAAAAATATGAAATCTGGGAATCTGACTTTGTGAAATAATAAATTATACCCACTTTAAAAACAGGCACTACATCAGTGTGGCTATTTAGAACCACCGAAGGCAGATTTGGTTCCAATCCAATCCATGTTATTATAACAATGGGTTTTTTAGGCACAGGTTCCACTACTTTAACAGGAAGATCCAGGGATTTTGCTTGTGCCTTTAAAAATTCCACACATTTATCTAAAAAAGAGCAATAGAAGTGTATAAAGAGTAATTTAAAAAAATACAAAAAATATCAAAAACTCTTCATAAGCAAGATCAGGAAAGTATTTTTATTATTTTTTTGAATTTTTTGTCTGAAATTTCCAGAATGGGAATTCGTTAACGAATTACCAATTGGTAAAATCAAAAAAATTTATCAGAATAAAATTTCCAAAAAAAAATATGCCCGATGCTCCTTAAGGAATTATGAAGAGTTTTGGATATTTTTTTGATTATAAGGGGTCATCCATTTATATAATGATGACGGTTGATGGCCGTTTCATATAAAGGCGAAGTTAGTATTGCTTTATAAGCATATACAGGGTGTGCCAAAATCACCGGACCAAACAAAAAGGGTCGATTCCTTGCGAACATCTAAGACAAAATTTCTTTTACATTTTTTTTGAATTCGCAAAATTGCAGGAATTATTTAATTTTGTAAGGCTGCCAATGAAGGTGTCCCAAAATTAGTAGCATCACAAAATTGGCGCCCTAAAGGTTACCTTAAGGTTAATTTATCTTAAAATTTTACTAAGATATTTTTATAAGTATATATCGATGACTTTGCCAAAGTATCGCAAGCAACATAACTCAAATTTAGGGAATTGAAAACATTTTTTTATTTTAAAGTCGGTTTTAAATCATATATGAGTACATTAGATGCAAAACTCGGTTTTTGCACATTTTTAAAAAATATATATTTTATCTTATTTATGTTCATAACTGCACTGCCCACAGCATACCTAAGTAAACCAGATGCATAAGTTAATATTTGTAGAATAAAATACATTTATATACTTACCTCAGCTGCAAAACTGGGTATTTGTTTCTTCCTGTCGGATGCAAAACTCGGTATTTGACCAATCACCAATCACGTCGCTAGTATACGCATTAACTGACGGCATAACAATCACCTGATTAATTGTTATTTTTTTGGTATTTGCACTTTTCACTTGCAAAACTTGGTCTGAACGAGGAAGATGCAAAACTATGTTTTTAAATCTTTTGATTTCAATTATTTACTAAACTACTTAATTTTAAAGGACTTTTTTTTTACTTTTTTGAATAAGAAATGATGCAAAAGCACGTCTATAAGATTTTTGTATTTTTTTTTTCAAATATGACCTTATGAGCGGTTTTTCGTGTTTTTCTTAAAATCACTTATCCTGCAAATACAGAGTTGTGCATCTAATGTACTCATATAACCTATAGGTTTTATAACAAGTAAATAGCTATAATTATAAGCTATTGACTTGTTATAAAACCTTTGGGCTATATTTAATTTAAAACAGACTTTAAGACAAAAAATGTTTTTAATTCCCGAAATTTGAGTTACCTATGTTGCTTGCGATACTTTGGCAGAAAGTCATCGATATAACAAAAACTTGCCCAATACAGCAAAAACCCTGTTCATTGGTGGCTTTAAAAATGAAATACTGCAATTTTGCAAATTCTAATAAATGGTAAGGAAAATGTCGTTTTAGATTTTCTTTGGTTTGGTCCGGTGATTTTGGGACACCCTGTATAACGGAACTCTTCGGTCTTCGCCCGGGGCAACCGCCATAGTAGAAGTTTTACGTAGAAACGTTTTTAAAAACTACCTACGTATTTTTCACGTTCAATCATACATTTAAACAACGTTATGCGCATATCAAATTATTAATAAAATTCAAAGTTGTCTAAATAAATTTATATACATTATTTTCTATCAGGACGGTTAATTTTTTCTAAATAATATTCCTTTTAATGTGCGCTACTGGAAAAGAGCATAATATAAACAGTGTTGCCATTTGCGGGTATTTTACACGAAAGTCGGGTATTTTTGTCATGCTTCCAGGTAAAATATTAATATCTACTATCTAAAGATTTTTTTTTTAATAAAATTGTGTATTGTTCATAATTATTTTGTTCTATCCTCAGGATGGTATCCTGTAACAGGATTCCTGTTACTATTAGTCTTGATTAATTTAAAATTCACGTACTTAATTTTTCAAAATAGAGTGAATGCAATAGGAAATTTATAAAAATAACAATTTGTTCTACTCTTGCGGGTTGTTTTATAATTTTTGGTCGAGAACTTTCATGAAATTCATCCGGCAACACTGAATAAAAATGAACTACCACGGTCAAATAGCAGAACAATTTGAACTATTTGTGGCCCTTGTCTCTGTTTGTGGCCGAATAATAAATTAAAAAACATACCGTAATTGACGTTTGGATGAACCGATGGAATTTGCAGGTACTCTATAAAGTTATTTAGTGCTCTCTGATCCAAAGCTTCTTTTTCTTGAGGTGCAGCCATATTTTACCTTGTCGGTCACGATGATTTTGCTTTATGTGAAGCGTCTGTTTTTGTCTGCGGTATAAATAGCAAAATTTATCTTGAACACTGTTGAAATAACACTACTATCTTGCTGCATTAAAAACACCACTGTTGTGGTAACCAAATATTTTCGTCTGGTTTTTTGCGGTAACGCTCGAGCGTTTGATAAGATTACCTGAGTAATTTAAAAAAAAATACCATTTATATTTTACATATATCTATAAAACTCTTTTATAGATATCATATAAATAATAGATATACTTATGATATTTTATAAAATATTTTAAACATTCAAATTGGGTTACTTTTGTTTTGATTGTTTTGAACTACCCTACTAGATCCTTCTTAACCTCAATTAAAGGGGTATTGATTTTTCCATTCTCACGTCCTCTAAAATAAAAATAGGGTTTTAAATATGTTGGGTTACTTTTTGATACCGTTTCTATTGTGCTTAAGTTTAGCGAATGCGGCTGTATTAATTTGGAGCAATAAGGACATAAAATTGTCACCCCTAAAGCAATTTGATGATGAAGACCTGAATAATTTAAAGGTGTCTTTAAATAATCCGCGAGTTTTCCTATTTAAATCTCCTACATCTGAAATATCGCTGGAATTTAAAAAGATTATAAGTGGGTATAAGAGTGCATACAATCCCAATGGAAATATTAATGCCGAACAAGCTATAGGTAGGTAACTTTATAATACAGGAGAATATTTTACATTCAAAAATTTTTTAATATTAAACATTATTACAATTTAAATTATTAAAAAAATTATCAATAATTATGGTCAAAATATTTATTTTACACATTGTCCTTCTGGATAAGATCTGGATATATAGTTTTAATAGTATATTACTTTTCTGAAGTTTTTCATTTAAGTGTATAATATTTTATAATAAGTAATTATTGTTTTTTAGAACTATCCGATATTTTTGATTCTGATTTTAAAATTATCAAGCAAACTATAAACACAAAAGACTTTTTGGCAGTACTGTATATCCCAAATACCAGATTTAAGAGAGAAGTAGAAGGTAGTAGTTCAACTACAAGTACAACTGTTGAAACGATTGAGTTCAAAAAACCTGAAGGTCCTGTAATTTATGTGGGCCAAAATAAGGATAAATTGTACACTTTGATGTACTCTTCAAAACCTTTATTATTAAGGGTTAAAGATGAGAAAATCTACTTGGGTACAACTCCACAGGACATGATAACTGTTGACAAAAGATTGAATGTAAATGTTGTTTTGGAGAATGGTGATAAAGTGTCTCTAAGATTCAGTTTTATAACGGTATATGGATATTGGTCAATGACTTCAGTTAAAATTACTGATACCATGAATAATATGAATTTTAACTTGAATATCACCAGTGATGTCACAGCATCTGTTCATTTTTCATACCACTGCAGTGGTCAAACAGTTTTTGCTGATAAAGCCAATGATGTCGAGTTATACTTATATGACATGCAAATTCAAATTGACTCAGAAAATGGCAAATTCAGTGATGCTGATGATTGTGTTCCTTTCACATCTGCCCCCATTTGGTCAGGATTGTTTGTAACATTCCTGTTAGGATTTGTTTTAATGATTGCCTTGGTAGCTATTTTGGATATCAAAACTATGGATAAGTTTGACAATGCCAAGACCAAAAATTTATCTATCACTATCTTTGATTAAACATTTATTCTATTATGTACCTACCTATGCTTTTTGTGAATTGAAAAGATCTGCTTGTAAGTATTTTAATTGTTGATGTTATTAAGAGCACTGTGTAGAAGATCATTGTCCAAGTTTAATTGGTTGTAGATTAAATTTTTAAAACTTGTATCAAAAGTTTGTTTAACATTAAAATCATTTTATAAATAAAATCTAAGTCACTTTAAGCACAACAGTATTAAATTTAATTTAAATCCTAGGATTTATTACAATCCATTGTGGGTTTTATATTTAAATTAAACTTTATTGTGATACATTAGTTAATTATTTAAATTAATTAAACGTTCTTAATTTAAACTGTATTGTCTATAAAAAATTATAAACCCTTAATACATATTACATATTCTTTTAATTCTGCATTAAATAAAACACTGATAAGTTACCTAAAAATAAGTTTTATTTAGCTTTGATGTGGTCTCTAACATAATAAATAATTTAATGAGGATGATATGATAAATGATTTATCTTAATTGTTATCAACAATATGATGGTATCATTAGTTGTGGGATTCCATTTAAAAGCGGCATTTTATTTTTTGGACACACCCTTAAACTAAAAAATAAACAAAGTTTTAGAGGATATACCTAACATAAAAAACAACGTAAAAACTCAGTATCCAAGTCATTAATGAGAAAAAATAGAACAAAATTTAAAAAATAAGCATGTTAACTAAAATTTTAAATCTTTAAATAGCTAAAAAAAAGCAAATTATTAGAGTTAAAAGTGGGGAGATAAACTTAACTTGCCTACTCCACGTTTTAATGTAAGGTATTTTTTCTATTAAAATGTCATATTTTTACAGTCCGCGCGTTATAACTTGGCGAGAACGCCCTATGCTCAGTTGACGTAATTTCGTTTCAGTTTAACACTTGTTTGGCAAGGCAGTGGCGCGTATTCAATATTTACTTTTAAATTTTTTTGGCTATTTGTTCAATGTATTGAATAGAAAGTGTACCTAAATTTCATCGTATCGCAAAATTATTGATAAACTATAGTTTAAAAAATATTTTAAATTAAAAAAGTGAAGATAACAAAGCAGAATAATTTTAAAAGGTACCTTAATTACACTGCCCGTCAAAATTAACGCATAATAAGTAAAAAAATTCTAACTATAAAACGGCTTTACCAATCTTTTACGTGTACAAGGGTTTTTTGAAAAAATATCCTTAAAGCCCTTTTATTTAATATTAAAAAACGCTCGAAAAAAAACTTTTATATGCTGTTAAAGGCCGTATTTTTGTTAGTATACCCTGAAATTTTTGTACAAATCAAACGAACAATAACGAAGATACAGCTCTTCAAAGTCGGTAAAAATGACCACTTTTCAGCAAAATAATCAAAAAGGGGTCATTTTTACCGACTTTTAAGCGGTGTATCTTCGTTACTGTTCGATTGATTTGTACAAAATTTTCAGGGTATACTAACAAAAATACGGTCTTTAACAACATGTTTTTTATTTACTTAAAAAAAATCCTATAAAAGTTTTTTCGAGCGTTTTTTTAATATTAAATAAAAGGGCTTTAAAAATATTTTCTCGAAAAACCCTCGAACTCGTAAACTGAGATATAAGCTGAAGTATTCTTATACAAAATTTCATAAAGATTGGTAAAGGCGTTTTAGAGTTAGAATTTTTTTACATATTATGCGTTAATTTTGACGCGCAGTGTATATAAATATGGGCGTTTCTCTGTAAACTGGGCAACTTGAAGTAAGAAATTGTCTAGGCAAGTTTTTTTCTTATATTTTTGTTGTATTTAATAAATGTTATTCGAGGAATAAATATCGGTCTATTTATTAGTATACGGCAGATGAACCAAAAATATTCCTATTACTTTGGAAAACATTGAACATTTTCTGAAAAATCTATACAGGGGACTGTTTATAAAATCCGGAGACAAAGTTTAGATGACTTTTTTAGAATTACAAAATAATAATTATAAAAAATAAATAAGTCACAGTAACAAGCAAACAATATTGGTTGACTAATTAAACAATTAGGTTGATTCCAATAGTTACTGTCTTTAATTAATTTAGTCTGAAGTGACCATTTTGCTTTGATGACACGTCAGGGGACTGGTTTTTAAGGACTATAAAAACGATTTTGATACATTAAAGTTTATTTTATTGGATTTTGAACGTCGAGCATAGGTAGATTAGGTTATTATCTTATGAAGTTATCTACGAAATATTTATGATCTGTTATTTTTCTAAACAATATTAGCTTGAGACAATGAGTTGCCCAGTTTACAGAGAAACGCCCATATACCTAAATTTTTAAATACGTATATAACCAAAATTAAACATTACCAAACATAATCTAAGAAGCAATATTGTCAAGTGAAGAAGTAATGGCGGAAACGAAAAATATTAAACCTTGGTAGTAAACAAGTGCTACGCCCACATGCGTCGAGCTTCGCCAAGTTATAACGCGCGGACTGTACCTTTTTTGTAATTCTAACGAATCCACAATGATTTCGTCGAGGAAAATCTTGGGATTGGTCAGAATCCTCCAAGTAAGAGGATTAAAAAGGCTGCTAGTGTATTTCCACGTGACCTCCACCGCCCTGAGATCTTTAACTTCGTCGGCGACTATGACCTTTTGGAAATAATCTCCAGGGCCGTAGTAGCCGTTTACGAAGCCCGCTGGAGAAGAATGCGGGCCTTTACCGTCCTGAGTGCTGTGCATAGTAAACATGAGTTGGCCTATTTCGCCTTTGTGTTTCAAGCTTTCTGCTGATGATGACACTTTGACTCTTATGAAATAATGGCCCACTAAAAATAAAAATAATTTTAGGGAACTTAAAATTATTAAATTATCAAATCTAATGTGGCCAAAAGTTTTTTTATACATGTATTTAATTAAATCATACGTACTACCTACTTCCCATTTTGCAAAGGTGGAAAAGATTTTTTCAATATTCACAATCCACGGTGTCCCTGAATAACTTTTAATTGAAAGGTTCAGACGTATCCGATTTTTTTTCATATTTTGATAAAAAATTACTTACAAGACAATTTTTTTTCAGGATAAACTCAATTCGCTTGGCACGTTTTTAGAAAAATCAATTTTTATAAAAACATTAATGATTTTTAATCAATTTTTTGACATTTTTAATTAGTGAACTCCAAATAACGACTAACAGCTTTTAATGTATTTGTTAGATAAAATAAGCAATTCATTAGACTATAAATTAAAGTGGTGCTATTTATTATCTACTATAATTTATCGACAAACTTAAAATTTTATTTAAAAAATCCAAATATTACAGGTTTTATCGAGGGTTTTATACCATTTCAAATATTTTTTTATTTTAATAAAATAAATAATAAAAATTTAAAATCGAATAAAATCTGTAATATTTGAATTTTTTAAATAAAATTTTAAATTTGTCGATAAATCATAGTAGGTAATAAATTGCACCACTTTAATTTGAATTATCTTAAATAGGGGGGCCTGGAGGCGGGTGAGACGACAGGAAAAACCAACTTTTTTTCGCAAACTTCAATTTAAATTCTGTTTTCGCCGAACTTGTCTATTTAATTTTATTATAAACTATTATAAATTTGGTGTGGGTCCCATGTCTAATAACTGAGATATTGGTATACATAAAATCCACCAGCCGCCACTGCTTGTCACATGTCACATGTCGAAATCGTGATTGAAAATACCGTTGCGTTATTTTACCGTTTTTTTCATTTGTCGCAGATTTATTTATAAATTAGATATAAATAATTATACTTGCATTGATTATAGTATATAGTGCAATGAAGCTAATAAAAAACCATGCATGGACTCACTCGGATAATCGCGAGAGAATTTGTTTTGTCTTAAAAAAAAGAAAAAAGAAAAAATGTCTAAAATATGTGGAAAGATTCTGGAAAAAGCTCAAAGCATAGTAGTATGTATATGATGTAGAAGATGAACGATTACCAAAAGTTGTATGCAAAGGTTGTGAAATTATATATACTATAATCAATGCAAATATAATTATTTATATCTAATTTATAAATAAATCTGCGACAAATTGAAAAAACGGTAAAATAACGCAACGGTATTTTCAATCACGATTTCGACATATGTCACATATGTGACATATGTCAATAGTTTTATGTAACAAATACATTAAAAGCTGTTAGTCATTATTTGGAGTTCACTAATTAAAAATCTCAAAAAATTGATTAAAAATAATTAATGTTTTTATAAAAATTGATTTTTCTAAAAAAGTGCCAAGCGAATTGAGTTTATCCTGAAAAAAATTGTCTTATAAGTAATTTTTTATCAAAATATGAAAAAAAAATCGGATACGTCTGAACCTTTCAATTAAATGTTATTCAGGGACACCGTGAATCACGTTTCATTTGTTTCAATATTCTTACTCTTAAGAAATCATTACCTAGTTGAAATTTAGTTAGGATTGGGAACAAATTTTATTTATCGTTTAGATTATAAATTTCAACCAACGATATATCGGTAAGAATAAAAGATATTGAAAAATTTTAAAAGGAAGAGTAGTACGTTAAGATGGCATAACGAGTTATTTGGTAAAATTATTTCGTGATGTAACAAAAAATTTTTTTTCTAATTTTAGGTTAAAATTTCTCAAAAACTTGATGGAGGAATTCTATAAAATTTAACGTTGATTAAACTAATTTCTTTATAAAATTAAACTTAACACAATTATTATTTAATATTCCATATTATAAAAATTAGACTACACTTATTTTAAATATACAAATCCAAAACAATCGTTATTTTAAAATTAAAGAGTTATTATTTGGGTAGAGTTCTGTTTGTTTTAAATAAATTACTATTTTAATAGCAGTTCCCTGTTTGAGTATGAGTATAAGAGACGTATAACCAGCCCCATTTCCTCTTGACTCTCGAACCCCGTACAGGCCTATGTTTACTTACGCCGATTTTTGTTCTTCCCCAGCAACTGCACGGCTTCACCCGTGTTTGCTGGGTGCGAATGTCCATTGCGTTCCGTACTGTCCCCTATTTGGGGCTCGAGAGCGAGAGGCGAATAGTTTTAATAGCCGTTCCCGGGTTCGCCGAGCCTATGCTATACGCTCGGTGGGGTATGGAGGAGTGACGGGAGGGTGTTGGTTTTTGGGGGACAATTACGCCGACTTAAAACTAAGTACGACGCGGAATCCCCCTAGACCAGTCGATTAGTATTACTCCAAACATTTGGGATTACTATTTGGAGTTGGGGAGATGTTATTTCGCTGCAGGGGTGTAGTTTGCTAGTCGAGGTCTTTGTCTTGTTCGTTATTGTCATTGTCTGTGTCCTGGTCAGATAGTTCCTGCACTTGGTAAAGTGTGTCAGTTGTTTTTAAAAAAATTTGTCCCAAGCACGTTTTGTGATAGAGTTTTTTTTTTACTATTAATTCCAAAGTTAAGCATTGCATTTATTTATTAGTCAAACAAATTACAAGCGCGATTATTCTGTTGTCTAATGTTTACAAATCTCGAGTTTGGCTATTAGGCTTTTTTTTAATGTGTGTCTAGTGTTTATTTTCGGTCTAGATTGGGACCGCCTTACGCATTTGTTGTTGACAGATTTATTGCCCCACGCTGTGTGCCTTTCATAGGTTTTAAGGATATCCCAATAAACACTTTAACGGTACCTATCACCATCAACATTGCCCGTGTAAGAATTTTTAATACTTTTCAATACAATTTTGCAATGATAGTAATTAAAAACAAAACAATTGTTTAAGGAGTAAAATATGTTCTTAACATAATCATATTAAAGTTATTTTAACATGTTCAAGTAAAAATAAATATTATGTTTAATAAAATGAATAACGGGCAATGTTAATGGTGACAACTAACGGAAAATGTTTGCTGGGATCTGCCGTATTTAAATTGCAGATTTGTATCAGGTCATGCATATTCTCAAAGTAACTTATCAGCTTTTTTTTGCGGATGGCCACCTCCCCTCCTGCCTGACCTCCCCCGTCCGTCCAGTGAAAAGCCTCCAATGACAGGTGGCACCTAACTCATTCATATCACTCAGCACTTCACTCCTCAATGACCGTTACACCATTTTAGCTTGCACTCCATGAAAATGTTTGTTTCACTTATTAGTTTGCACTTTTTTTTATAATTATTGTTGGTTTCATTTTTAAACTTTTACGTTTCAAGAGCTTTCCCGCACGCGACGTGTCTTCTCGAGCGCTGGAACCGAACTGTAGCAGTTCCCTGTTTGATTTCAATAAATTATCTAGCACATATTGTTCTGTTGATTTTGATAGAATATTTACTCCTGCATTGTCAACCGATTCAGTAAAAATTACCCCTTAAAAGCAATAATAATCCATAACAAATAGATATACATATATAGATAAACCCATACATACGCCTATAGGCGCAAGTTGATCAGATCGGCCTCCTGACGTCACAGTTTTGATGCAGGAGTGGGGCCTTCACTCCCGCCTGGTATAAAGTACGCCGTGATTTTAAGTGGCATTTTTTAATAAGGCGCCTCTTAAAAAACTGTGTGATTTGTAAAAAAATATTTACTTACTACAATAGGGCCTTGCATCACTGGTTATCAGGTATTGTATAACACTTTCTTTGTCATTAGGTTTTTGGCTAATATGCTTTTCATATGATTTTCTACCATGAAAACCAAATTGCAAACACTTATTTTTATTACCACATTTTAAACATTTGCCTGCTTCAAAATCCTGAAATATTAATTACAAAATATATAATAAAAGTAATTAATTATGTAATTACCTTAAACGATGAACACGAAAAACTCCTGAACGAACACGTAGGCCTTATACTCGCCATAAAATACTCATGACTCCTCATATGGTTGCAACCCAAATACTTCCTTAACCCCCTAAAAAAACTACCCTCTTGCTCATTGACGTACTGAACCATACTTTTCCCGCAACCCGGTTGGTTGTCGCCACCGTTCGGGTAGTAATCCACGTGTCCGATTGGCCGCTTCATTCCCAAAGCCAGCTCGATGAAATGATTTGCGTCGGTGTGCACGATATCGACGTATTTTGCCGCTGAACGGTCTAGTCTTACTGGAGGGGCCTCTTGGCCGAAATGGGGCTCGGCGGGATCCAACCCTGAAATCCTACCCAGCTTCAGATTAAATTCCTGCAAAGAATTATGAGAATAGATTATTTGTACCATGCTCCTCACCCAAAAGACCCACTATAACATTTGATTGGGGTTATAACCTCAGATAAAAACAGGCATTTTGCATAAATGCAAAATACCAGTTTTTATCTTCAAGCAACTTTAAACTAATTTAAAGTAATTTAGACCATTTGGGCCTCAAAGTCTGTAAAAACCCGTTTGGACCAATAAAAAAATTCCACTGCTGTCAGATCCCACTTTCTACTTTTAATATTAAATATGTACTGGTAGTTTATAACTTCCAGAATAACATTATAATGTTTAATTATGCAGGTAAATTTATAAACCCTTTAAATTTTACTGTTAAACTTATGAATTTAGTTTTTGTAAAATAAATGCGCTTCATAAATATTTAGGTAAGTATACAGAAATTATTTATTTAATACCTAATGTTTATAAATAAAAAAATCTTAATATTTATTATTAATTTTTTATTTAATTATTAATAATTATTAAGCATTTTCCTTTGAAGTAGGTAGTTTTCGCTACTTAAAAGTTTTTTTACACCTTAATTTACTTTACGGTAGTTTTGGTAAGTACCATAAACGTTCCAAATACTAAAATAATAACTTTTAAGTTATTAACTTTGTAGTTTTTAACTCATGTTCCAGTTTCAAGATTTTAACTTGAAAAGGGGCAACAAAGTAAAAATAATTATAATGTAATCTTTAGGTAGCAACCGAAAGTAACTGCTATAAATTAAATTTACTTGGGGGCAACCAAGTTTTACTTAAATGTTTATTACTTTATAGTAATGGTTAACCATTTAAGGAAAGAATTAAGTTTCTGTTACAAAATATTGCTATTTAAAAGTTAGAATTACTTTTAAGTAAAAATTAAAGTAGGTAGCTGTTTAGTATACTTAACTAATTTAAAGTTATCACCACTTTGGTAATGGTTTTTGGAACTAAAAATGCTGCTTGGGATAATACACTCTTGTACCCTACTGATTACTTTACTGTGATTTTTTGTGATGTTTAAAATATTGACCAAATAAGACATTACTTTGTAATTGTTTATTTTTCATTGTTATTATTTTTTATTCTGCTCAAAAATTTTATAGAAATTTAGAAATATTTGTTTTGTATTTTTGCGTCGTATTTGGTCAAATTTTGGAATAGTTAGTTTTACAAAAGCTACTGTTACTTTATTATTACTTTGTAAAGTTATAATCTTACCTTTTGCAAAGTGTATCCAGCGTATCCACTAAGATGGGCTCCCAGCGAATGTCCAATCAAATGGACTTGGTCCAATTTAAGGTGTTTGGTGTGCCGAGCTATTTCTGCTATTAGATGTGCTGTTATAACACCCACCAGCCGTATATTAGCCACTGCCTGTGTGTAGGGTGGGCCCGATCCACCTCTCCAGTCAACCGCTATCACTGAACATTTCGGATCCTGTTTTATTAATTCGTGGGCCATCTCTACAATCTAAATGTTTATTGCTTTATTTCATTTTCATATGAAATCAGGTAGTGATACAATTTGGTGACGTCACCTCGTGATAATTTTTTACGTTTTGTCAGCAAAAGTGTATTTTTGAATCATTTAGGCAACCCAGGGGCGGACATATGGCCGGGCCGTTCGGTGCAGTGCCCGGGGGCCCCGATCATATAGGGGCCCCCAGACATAAAGAAAATTGCAATTTTTAAAATTATAAAATCGTATGCGAATTAAAGGAAACATATCACAACTCTCTTAAAATGAATTAGTCAAAAATGACTAATTGTCATAGCGAAAAAGCAGCCAATAATAATTCTAGACAGCAGAAATTTGTATCTCGGACATTTAGCAGTTAATTTCTATGTAAAATTGTCCGCCGAATCAAGAAAATCAAAAGTTATAAAAGTAGAAAAGTTTTTAATAAAAAGTAAATTTTCGATGTAATTATGGAATTGATCCATTATCTCAATTTAGTGGCTTCTTTTTCGCTATAAAAACTAGTAATTTTTACTAATTCATTTTAAGAGAGAAGGGTAGTTATGAGCAACGCGTCGCTATAGCTATAAGAGAAATTTCTTATTAATAAAGATTGATAAGGGCCAAATAGGGAAAAATCAGAGCATATTAGCATGTATATGTTTTCAATTTTAATTGGCTATATTATCCTTAATTATAATAAATTGAAATAATTAATTGTTTAGCCCAATTAATTGCTTTGCCCAATCATTCTACCTTAATTAAGCTCATTTTACTTTAAAAATAAGTATTAGTATAATGAATATTAATAATATATAATTATTAAATGATTATTTTAGAATAATACAGGAAAAATGAGGTTTTATTTTGGTTAAGCTAATTTTATTGGTTTAACATTATCCTAAATAAAATTTTAGGTTTACATTTAAAATATTTTCAACTTCAAGTTCAACTATATATATATATATATATATATATATATATTAGGGTGTTTCAAAAAAATCGACTTTTTCTTTTTCTTCAAATGGTCAGCAAATTCTTTCAGAGGATGTCAAAACAAAGACCTCGTTAAAATTTGAGCTTTTAATTTGAAGATTTAGTGGTCGCGGATCGCAATTTTCTATTTCCCATTTAAATAACATAGGAAAATTTTTTTTTAACTTTGGAATTTTATACGTCTATATCGAATCAACTTATGGCAAGGAACATCTTAGATTTTTATAGTAAATTTAACGCTCTATAAAAAACGTCTCTTATAATTTTTCTATAAATTGATTTCTTCCAGAGTTATTCGAGGCCAAAGTTTGATTTCCATCGAATTTTCTCGTTTTTTCAACTTTTAGCATCATGTAGTAAAAAAAATCACATATTTATATCTGAAACATAGGAAGTGTTGTAAAAAAACAAAAAAACAAAAAAACGTCACTTTTTTCCAAAGCCTACTACAAAGTTTTAATGAAAATATGAGATGTGTATAATATGCAGAGTAATTTATATATAAATGCATTTTTCTCGAAAATGGTGCATCTGAGCAATTCAAATCAAGAGTACCTATTTTTCGTAAAAAACTATAAATTCTCATAATTTCATAAAAAAAATTAAATTATTAACCCAGAAAAAAGTTGGGGCTATTTTTGTAACTTTGCCCCCTCCAAATGTTACGCCTATGATTAAATTTTAACAGTTTTGATCATAGATCTAGATTCAGCATGTCAAAATTTCCAAAGTACCGAAAGTTCATTTGTTCATGTTCAACCCTCTAGGAATAGTTTTAAAAAAATTATCCTCTTAGGCTGCTATTCAGGGGGCCGTAGCTCCTTTAGGGAGCATTTTTTGATACATGTTTATTAAACAAAAAAAGTGTTATTTTTATACGAATAATGCACTGTTTAAGTTTGGTCCCCTAATTTCGGGACACCAGTATAATGATAATTGTACCAAAAATGTTAAAAAAACGCCAAAATTCGATGGAAATCAAACTTTGGCCTCGAATAACTCTGGAATAAATCAATTTATAGAAAAATTATAAGAGACATTTTTTATAGAGCGTTAAATTTACTATAAAAATCTAAGATGTTCCTTGCCATAAGTTGATTCGATATAGACGTATAAAATTCGGGTGACGTTCACAATATCGAAATTCATTATATCGAATTCAAAATATCGAACACTTTTTATCGAAAATCAAAATATCGAAAATACAAAATGTCGAAAATCAAAATATCGAAAATTAAAATGTCGAAAATGATAATATCGAAAATTAAAATGTCGATTTGAAAATGTCGAATAATTAAAATTTCGAAAATTAAAATGTCGAAAATGATAATATCGAAAATTAAAATGTCGATTTGAAAATGTCGAAAATGATAATATCGAAAATTAAAATGTCGATTTGAAAATGTCGAATAATTAAAATTTCGAAAATTGAAATATCGATTTAAAAATATCGAAAATTAAAATGTATGATTAAAATCGAAGTGTATATGTACAGAGGCGCCTCTGTAGATAAAGTTACGGTTATGCACCGAATTATCTTGGCTCCCTGGCTCCTAGAGATGCGCGTTTTATAGAAATGTACTCAAACTCAACAACACAACCCAACCGACCCCGCCCCATTAATTTCCTATGTTATTTAAATGGGAAATAGAAAATTGCGATCCGCGACCTCTAAATCTTCAAATTAAAAGCTCAAATTTTAACGAGGTCTTTGTTTTGACATCCTCTGAAAGAATTTGCTGACCATTTGAAGAAAAAGAAAAAGTCTATTTTTTTGAAACACCCTAATATATATGAAGACACCCCCATATTTTCGCTATTTGAAGGAATAAAGGTTTGAATTTTTTCACATTCATACATGTTGATGGGTCACATTTTTTAAGCTACTTAACTGAAATCTGAACTTTAAACTTGGCCTACTACAAATTCACAAACAGGGCCAGTTCTCGATATTTTGCTTCGCGTTAGAGATATCGAAAAAAGTTATTGGAAAAAGTTGTTCAGAATATTATTCTAACCCCATATACCAATTTTTATAACAAAATTCGCATTTTTATTTTTTTTTTAGTTTGATGATAAGGGAGCCATGGAAAGTAATAATTTGATACTAACTAGTGTTTATGACCGTTAAATAAATAATTAAAACAATTTTTGGAAATTACAAATCAATTATAATTTATTAAATTAAGGAAATGGTATAAAACAATAATAAAACTAATAAAAATAAATAAATTAGAAATGCGAATTTTGCTATGAAAATCGGTATACGGGGTTAGAATAATATTCTGAACAACTTTTTCTAATAATTTTTTTCGATATTTCTAACGCGAAGCAAAATATCGACAACTGGCCCCGTTTGTGAATTCGTAGTAGGCCAAGTTTAAAGTTCAGATTTCAGTTGAGTATCTTAAAAAATGTGACCCACCAACATGTATGAATGTGAAAAAATTCAAATCTCTATTCCTTGAAATAACGAAAATATGGGGGTGTCTTCATCTTAAATGCGACACACTGTATATATATATTATATAATATATATTATATACAGTAGAATCTCGCTAATCCAGCCCTATGATAGTCCGACCCTGCCAATAATTCGACGGTAATTTGGCGAATGCAGATTTTCACTGCATCTATAATCCGGCGATTTCCACAAATTAGTATCCGATCGGATCGGATCGCGATAATCTGGCGTTTTCTTATAATGACACTGAGAAAACTTCTCAAAAAGGTTTTTAAGACTTCACAGCTAGAAAACAAAATCTGATAACTTCTTATTTTAAGGAAGTAAACTATGTGCTCTTGAGAAATACATATGTACATATATATATATATATAGATTGCATGTATGAGTGAGTATGAGTATAAGAGATGTATAACCAGCCCCATTTCCTCTTGACTCTCGAACCCCGTACAGGCCTATGTTTACTTACGCCGATTTTTGTTCTTCCCCAGCAACTGCACGGCTTCACCCGTGTTTGCTAGGTGCGAATGTCCATTGCGTTCCGTACTGTCCCCTATTTGGGGCTCGAGAGCGGGAGGCGAATAGTTATAATAGCCGTTCCCGGGTTCGCCGAGCCTATGCTATACGCTCAGTGGGGTATGGATGAGGGACGGGAGGGAGTTGGTTTTTGGGGGACAATTACGCCGACTTAAAACTAAGTACGACGCGGAATCCCCCTAGACCAGTCGGTTAGTATTACTCCAAACATTTGGGATTACTATTTGGAGTTGGGGAGTTGTTATTACGCTGCAGGGGTGTAGTTTTCTAGTCGAGGTCTTCGTCTTGTTCATTATTGTCATTGTCCGTGTCGGATAGTTCCTGAACTTGGTAAAGTGTGTCGGTTGTTTTTTTTATTTTATTTTTATTGTTGCTTAGTTGCTCCCAACTGGTCTTGTTAATTTGTGAAAAGTGCATGTTTTGTGCTAACGTGTAATGAAATGTGAAGCATGGTCTACCGACTTTTTTTGTCTTTAAGATCTAGTTTAAGGGTGGCTTGTAGTATGTTGTTGCGTTGTCTACGAGTGACGTGGGCCCAGTATTTTAATTGGGCTACTCTTACCCTTTTGGTAATGGTTTTTCCCATTAGCAGGACGCGGGGATGTTGTAGATGGTAGTCGGGTAAGTCTGTCGTTAGTAGTGTAATGATCTTCCGTTCAAGTTTGCGTATTTTTGTCTGTTTGCTTTAGTTAGCGCGCAGGTGTGCCGCTGGTACGATAATCGGCACACATGATAAACTCCCTCGCAAAGAAATAAGAGTTTACAGATTCCATGGATATTGATTAGAGTGCTTTTTTTTTGTTTATGTTTTCTTAGATTATGTGTTATGTCTTAAGTGTCAAGTTTATTTGGTCTCGGTTTGTTATTCTTGAATTGTTTTGTTGACAGCTTTATTGCCCTGTTCAACTTTGGTGTGTGTCCGCGATCGGCTGTTTGGTTTTTTTCTTGGAAAATTGACTTTTTATTTTATTTGTTGCCGATGATTATTGTTTTTTTGTAGGGATTAGGCAATGTG